TGCACCCCTCTCACACACACCCACACACCCTGCACCTCTCACACACACCCGCACCCTGCACCTCTCACACACACCTACACACCCTGCACCCCTCTCACACACACCCGCACCCTGCACCTCTCTCACACACACCCACACACCCTGCACCCCTCTCACACACACACAGTCTCTCTCTCTCACACACACACGTACCATTTTTCTCGCTCGCTCGCGCACACACACCCTGTATCTCTCACACACAGACACACCCCACCCCCGTCTCTCTCTCTCTCACACACACACACACCTGTCAGTCGCTCTCTCAGACCCTCACACCTGTCAGGCAGAGTGTCTGTCACACACACACTCCCGTCAGTCTGTCGCTCTCTCACCCCCCCCCCGTCACGCGGTCTGTCTCCCCCCCACACTCGGTCTGTCTGGTTCTCTCGCAGGCCCACACACCTGTCAGGCCGCGGGTGTGTCCGTCTGGCGCGCTCGCTCTCACACCCACACCCCAGGCAGTGTCTGTCTCTCTCCTACCCCCGGGTCACCCTGTCTGGCTCACCCCCCCCCCGGCCGCCCCTTCTCCCCCGCGCTCAGGTCTCTGGCAGCGCCCTCCCAGCCGGGGGGCTCCCGTCGGGGGGCTGGCAGGGTGGCCAGCAGAGCCCAACCGGGAGCCCCGACGGGCTCCTGCCGGAGGCCCGCCCCGCTCCGCTCAGCAGCGCTGGGGGCAGCCCCCCCCAGCCAGGCGGGGTGGCGAGGGGGCCAGGCTGCGGCGTGGCGTGCGCCCCCTCGCCGCCCGGCCCTGCGCCCCGCTCCCCGAGGGACGCCCCGGCCGGAGCCGCGAACACCTTGCTCAGGCCCCGCCGGCCAGGGAGGCTTGGCTGGGGGCGGGGGGAGGCGAGCCCCGCCTGGGGTCGGCTCAGGGCCTCAAGCCACCTTTCGCTGCCAGTGATCGCAGGGTGAGGGCAGGCGAGCCGCCCGGGCTCGCCCGCTGGAAAACAGCAGCATCCTCCCCCCCCCCAGTAAAAAACTTTTCAGAAGTGGGTGCCTAAAGCCCTGAACGCCATATTTAGCCAGTGAGCTAGAGATCCTGGCTGTCCGAGCTGCTGAGCAGGCACCAAAATCAATTCGTACCTCCCCACGGGTCAGCTCTCAGAGGGGGCCACTCCCATGCCCCAGCTGGCAGATTGAAGTGGTTGGGCCGCGTGTGCAGAGGCATGTTTCCCCGTCAGCGTTTAAATGCGGATGTACCTCAGGCATCCACTTTTGGAACGGTCCCCGAGCTCTCTTAGGACTTTTGAAATCCATGAGAGTTTTGCCCTTGCCTTCGCTGACAGCAACATACAGCTGCATGAGTGACGGCCAGTTTGACAGCAATTGGGTGTGTCTCTGCATTACAGTTTAATAATTGGAAAAAACAGCATGTGCCTTTGTAGTGTATATCCTGGTTAAACCAGATCGTGAACAGCTAGAAAGATCGCATGGCTAGCATGACTTTAAATGATTCCCTGGTGCTCCATACTAAAGCTTTGCTATGACATTTAAAAAGCTTATTAGGGCAATGCATAATATAAAATCATAGGGCTGGAAAGGATCTGGAGCGGTCAGCTAGTCTCGCCTCTCCCCCAGTGCTGAGAGAGGAACAAGTAGACCTAGCCCATCCCTGACAGGCGTTTGCCAAACCTGTTCTTAAAAACCTACAAAGACCTGATTCCACAACCTCCCATGACAGCCTAGTTCAGTACTTAACCATCCCTAGAGTTAGAAAGTTTTGCCTAATACAGTCTCCCTTGCTGCAGATTAAACTGATTATTTAGTGTCTTACCTTAAGCGGACATGGAGAACAACTGATCTTGGACATCTTTATAACAGCCCTTAACATGTTTGAAGCCCTTCCTCTGTCTTCTTTTCAGAAGACTAAATATGCCCAGTTTTTTTAACTTTTCCTTCCAGGTCGAGTTTTCTAAACTTTTTTTTATCATTTTTGTTGCTCTCCTCTGGACTCTCTCTAATTTGTCTACATCTTTCCTAAAGTGTGGTGTCTAGAAATGGCCACAGTGCTTCAGTTGAGGCCTCACCAGGGCCCAGTAGAGCAGGACTGTTACATTCAGCATCTTATATAAGACAGGCCTGTTAACAACCCACTAAAATGGTATCAGCTGTTTTCGCAACTGCATCACACTGTTGGCTCCTATTCAGTTTGTGGTCCACCATAACTCCCAGAGCCTTTTTAGCAGTACTATCACCAACCCAGTTGTTCTCACTTTTGTATTCATGTATTTGATTTCTCCTTCCTAATACCAGTACTTTGTACTTATCTTTATTAAACTTAATCTTGACACATTGGAGAATTGGTCAGAAAACAAGATGATCTTGAATTCTAAACCTGTCCTTCAAAGTGCTTGCAACGCCCCTCCCCCAGCTGTGGGGTTAGCTGCAAATTGTATAAGCATGCTCTCTCTCTCATTACCCATATCATTAATGAAAAATATTGAATAGTACCAGACCCAGGAAAAAAACCCTGTGGTGCCATTAGATAGGGCTTCACATTTTGACAGTGATAACATTGATAACTATCTCTTTGCATATGTTTATTTCAACCAGATGTGCAGCCACATAATCATTTTATGAGACCACATTTCCCATGTAGAAAGGCTTCCATGCTCTCTGTGTGTAGCACAGGGGGTCTCTAATGACCGCTCCAGATAAGCCAATGTGCTCACTATATGTGTGTGTAGAGGGAGGGACAGCAGCTGATATGCTAGCCTTTAAAAGTACCTGTGGACTTAGGGATGCAGTACCCTAAGACATCTCTTTCCCTCTTAATTTATCTGTTGTGAAAGGCATGGCCAGTTCCTTTTATCACATCTGCACAGTTGTGTGACATAGGATGGACAGAGGGATTAGCCATTAATGAGGCACTACAAGTCATAAAGGCCCTAATTCAGCAAGATGTTTAAACATTGCCTACTTTATGGTGGGAAAGATAACTGTGACTTAGTCTAGTCACTTGAAATTTAGGAGTTGGGATCTCTGCTGGGAAATGTCTCGTGGTTGGGTGTAAGACCAGTACAGCACATAGCAAGCTCTATTCCACGGTTATCCGTGTACATACTTAGCCTAATTAAATGTTGATTCAAATATTGTTTTGCTCTTTATGTAGAGAAGTCTGGGCTTAAGTTCTCAGCTTCCCTTATCAACAATACATTTAAACATGTGAAGTCAAATTGGATTAAACAAAGCATGGCCTTAAAGATTTTGCTGACGCTGGGCCTAAATCCAGGGGTGGGACAGCTGTAGAAATACCCTTTAAGGTTTATAATTCCAGCCATTCCTAAATCTGCATTGTCTCTGTCACCCTTTCAGATGCAGAATTACCTTAGTGGTCCTTGTTCTAAAAACGCTGAGGGGATAGTAGTTTAATGATCTAAATTTCATGCTCAGATATGCTTCCCAGAGTCAAAAGTTCAAACCCTAACAAGGGCTTCATCCTTCCAGAGGAGATAAATAGAATTCCATGCAGTTAAACGAATGGACTGTTTGTTCTGCATGGACATTATAGAAACCAAACACATTTTGTAGGATCAACCCTAGTGTCCTTATTCAGTTTCCTCTCAATCCCCTCCCCTATGCTATGACGTGCATTAGGGACAAGTTTGTTACCAGTCACTACCCCAGAACTGGCTGGGTTTCCCTGCTACAGTAAGAACATAAGAAGGGCCATATTATGTGACACCAATGGTCCATCTAGCCAAATATCCTGTCTTAAAAACAGTGGCCAGTGCCAGATGCTTCAGAGGGAGTGAACAGAATGGGGCAATTTATCAAATGATCATCAGTCCCAGCTTCTAGCAGTCAGAGATTTAGGGACAGCTGCAGCATAGTGTTGTGCCCCTCACCATCTTGGCTAATAGCCATTGATGGACTGAACCTCCAAGAACTTATCCCAGTTATACTTTTGGCCTTCACAACATCCCCTGACACTGAGATCCACAGGTTGGCTGTACGTTGTGTGAAGCAGTACTTCTTTACGTTTGTTATAAACCTGCTGCCTATTAATTTCATTGGGTGACCCCAGTTTGTGTATTATGTGAAGGGGTAAACAACACTTCCCTATTCACTTTCTCCACACCATTCAAGATTTTATAGACCTCTATCATATCCCCCTTTAGTCATCTCTTTTCCAAGCCAAATTATCCCAGTCTTTTTAATCTCTCCTCAGAGGAAAGCTACTCCATACCCCATATCATTTTTATTGCCCTTCTCTGTACTTTTCCCAATTTTAATATTTTTTTTAGATGGGGCAACCAGAACTGCACACAGTAGTCAAAGTATGGGCATACCATGGATTTATATAGTGCCATTATGATATTTTCTGTCTTATTATCTATCCCTTTCTTAATGGTTCCTGACATTGTTATCTTTTTTGACTGCTGCTGCACTATCCCCAATGACTCCAAGATCTCTCTGCTGAGTGGTAACAGCTTGTTTAGACCACAACATTTTGGATGTATAGTTGGGATTATGTTTTCCAATAGGCATTATGTTACACTTATCAACATTAAATTTAATCTGCCATTTTCTTGTGAGATCCCTCTGTAACTTCGCAATCTGCTTTAGACTTAACTATCATGAGTAGTTTTGTATTATCTGTAAACTTTTACCACCTCCCTGTTTACCCCTTTTTCCAGATCATGTCTGAATATGTTGAACAGCACTGGTCCCCCAGTATGTACGCATCTGGGGAAGAAAGGCGCCATCTGCATGCAAAGGAGTTATTGTTCTAGTGTTACTTGCAAATTAAAGCCTAATCCTGCAAATTGTTCCACACAGGTATTTCTCTGCAACCATGTGAAGCCTCACAAGGCACAAGGATCTGTTTGGTTATACAGAACAACTTATAAAATCAAGGCCTAACACTGCCTTTTTTTTTTTCAAAGTGACCTCACTTTGTATGGGGAGAGATGTTTTGACTTCAGAACACACAAACTGATCAAACACACCCACACACACAAAAAAAGAAGGAAAACCATTTATAAATGTCACTGTCCAATGTCTTTTCAATTGAACTGTAATAAGATTATCTACACATATCTATAAATATCTACAAGTATCTACACTGTTTGCAGATATGACTCTTTGGTTGTCTTGCCTTTTTCCTACACTGCAACTATTATGAAAACAAAATCAAAAACGTTTGTATAATCTCTGAAAGAAAAAATAAATATAACAACTTCATTTTAAACAAAAGCTTTGGCACTAATCAATGTCCAGGTAACAAATCATAGTGAAAACTCTGAAATAACAGCGACAAAGCAACAGGGCATGTCAGAGAGCAGTTTCCAGCTGGCTAATAATATGCACAAGTCTATTTCACATCAGCCTTTTTGAGAACAATTATTGTGTAGTCGGACACTAAAAATTTCACAATTCACTGCAAATGTCAAATAAAAACACATGGTTCTTGCACAGATCTTCACAATTGATCCAGATTTTTGTAATGGAAAAAGTTACAGAAAATATTCACATCTGCCTGTATCTCTTCTTGATAGAGCCTATTGCTGAAGATTGGATAGACATTACTATGTGATCTTAACATTTGCCACCTTCACAAGGTAAGGAATCCCCTTTCAAAAAGATACCAAGAGAACACTGTGGAATTTGCAATGCAGAGGCACAAATATGGATGAATCGGAGGACATAAAATATAACCCATCTCTTTCCACAGAATTCTGTGGAACAGGGGGGAGAAGGACGGAGGCACCCACATGGTCAATTAGCTGTTAAATCCTTCTCTGAAATACAGGACTGGCCTGACAATTGGTGGAACACCAAGCAAAAACATAGTCTGGATATTCATAATGTGTAGCTGGAGACATATGCCAGAAGCTAAATTTTGGGATGTGGACCATCTCCACAGGAAAAGCAACCTGAGGGAAGACATAAAAGGTACTTTCCAGATGTAAGAAGGGGCATACAGCAAGCAGCCATTGCAAAATGGTCACTGTAAAACTGCAGCTCTGCCAGATTTAAAGGGCCAGCCCCTGAAAAGCATGCTGGGGGGAAAAATCCTCTAAAAGGCAAGGCTGCAGTGGAGAGTATTAAGAGACCAGGAAATCACCAGGCAAGGTAGAGTTGTAGGGCTGCGTTGGTGGTGTTCTCATCACCAGCAATCACGACCCCTCTGAGAATACAAAAATACGGCCCAAACTTTGTCTTTTTTTTCCTGTATGCTTAATCCCGATTGTTGTGGGAAATAAAAATCTGTAGCACTGTTCTCGGCCTTGGGCTCCATTAGAGAAGCACAGGGCCCCAAACTGTTGCTTGTGTATAAAGTTGCCCCCTACAACCTCATCAGTCATGAGGAGATGGGCACTGGGAAGGACCAAGCTGGGGGGTCACCTGGCAACACCAAAACATGTCCTAACTTTAAGGCCTACCTCCACCGCTAGTCCCCTGGAAAATACAGGGGAGGAGGTCTAAAGCCAAGGGAGCCCCAGTCCTCCCCCTCAGTAAGTCACAACACTTAGGTGGCTCTCCCTAGGAGGAGGAGGGGCAGGGGCTGCAGGGGCCCAGGGCCAGCCGCGCAGCACAGGACACCTCCTCATTCGGTGTTAACACGATGCCCCCCCCCCAGAGCCCACCCGGGCTGGCGCAGGAGGGCCAGGGCCGAGAGTCTACGGCTGGCTTCGCCACAGGCTCGCCGAGGGCGAGTCACTGCCCCTTCCCCGGGGCGAGGCAGCCCGGCCGGCCCCCTCGCCGGGCTGTGGGCGGGCGCGCGAGCCGTCCTCAGCGCCAGGCGGCCGCGGGGGCGGCTAGCGCCGGAGCGGGAAGCGCCCCCTATGGCTTGGTGGCTGGAGCCGAGCGCAGTGCCGCGGCCCGTCGCCCGCTGCCCCGCTGCACGGGCGGGGCGGGGGCCCGGCCCTGCCCCTGCCTGGCTCCGGCCTGCGGCCCGGCCGCTCTGCCCGGCGAGCCAGGGGGCGGGTGGGCAGAGCGGAGCAGCGGCCCTGCCGGGCCGGGGCGGTGCAAGGCGGGAAGCGGGAGTTCTCCTCTCGGCGGCCGGGGCTCTCCGGCGGCCAGGCGCGGGCGGGCGGGGGGAGGGGCGCACACCATGCGGGGGCGGCGGGGCGCGGGGGTTACCGCGGCCCGTAGTCGTAGCTGGGCGGCGCGGCCGCCGAGGAGTACACGTTGGCCGCCGGCGGGCCCATGTGGTGGTGATGGTGGTGGTGGTGGTAGCTGTGGCCCCGGAGGCTGGGTAAGGGGTAGGGGGCGGGCCGGCTCTTCGCCCCCAGGTAGTGGTCGTAGGCCGCCGCCGGGTACTTGTAGGGGTGGTGGTGCAGGGGCTCCGAGGCGGGGGGCTCCAGCCGCAGTTCGTGGTGCGGGGGGCTGGGCCGGCTCCCCGGCGTGCTGCTGAGCTGGACCAGGCCCCCCGCGCCGGGGACGGGCAGGGCCGGGCTCAGCACCCGCGACATGAGCTGCTGGTGCGCGGGGTCGGCGTGGAGAGGGGTCCCGCTGGCCGCTTCCCGCTCGTAGTCCCGTCGGCTCTCCGCAGCGTCTGCAACACAGCCCGGGACACGGAACGGGCAGAGCAGCCGGTTACCGCCTGGCCAGGGCCCCGAGCGCCCCCCCCCCAGCACCGAGCCAGGGCCCCGAGCGCCCCCCCCCAGCACCGAGCCAGGGCCCCGAGCGCCCCCCCAGCACCGAGCCAGGGCCCCGAGCGCCCCCCCCAGCACCGAGCCAGGGCCCCGAGCGCCCCCCCCCAGCACCGAGCCAGGGCCCCGAGCGCCCCCCCCAGCACCGAGCCAGGGCCCCGAGCGCCCCCCCCAGCACCGAGCCAGGGCCCCGAGCGCTCCCCCCAGCCACTGACTCCCCCCAGCACCGAGCCAGGGTCCCGAGCGCTCCCCCCAGCCACTGACTCCCCCCAGCACCGAGCCAGGGTCCCGAGCGCCCCCCCCCAGCACCGAGCCAGGGCCCCGAGCGCTCCCCCCAGCCACTGACTCCCCCCCAGCACCGAGCCAGGGCCCCGAGCGCCCCCCACCAGCCACTGACCCCCCCAGCACCGAGCCAGGGCCCCGAGCGCTCCCCCCAGCCACTGACCCCCTAGCACCGAACTAGGGCCCCGAGCGCCCCCCCAGCTACTGACCCCCCAGCACCGAGCCAGGGTCCCGAGCGCTCCCCCCAGCCACTGACTCCCCCCAGCACCGAGCCAGGGCCCCGAGCGCCCCCACCACCACTGACCCCCCCAGCACCGAGCCAGGGCCCCGAGCGCCCCCCCCAGCACCGAGCCAGGGCCCCGAGCGCTCCCCCCCAGCCACTGACTCCCCCCAGCACCGAGCCAGGGCCCCGAGCGCCCCCCCCCAGCACCGAGCCAGGGCCCCGAGCGCCTCCCACCAGCCACTGACCCCACCAGCACCGAGCCAGGGCCCCGAGCGCTCCCCCCAGCCACTGACCCCCTAGCACCGAGCCAGGGCCCCGAGCGCCCCCCACCAGCCACTGACCCCCCCAGCACCGAGCCAGGGCCCCGAGCGCCCCCCCAGCACCGAGCCAGGGCCCCGAGCGCCTCCCACCAGCCACTGACCCCCCCAGCACCGAGCCAGGGCCCCGAGCGCTTCCCACCAGCCACTGACCCCCCCAGCACCGAGCCAGGGCCCCGAGCGCCTCCCACCAGCCACTGACCCCCCAGCACCGAGCCAGGGCCCCGAGCGCCCCCCACCAGCCACTGACCCCCCCCCCAGCACCGAGCCAGGGCCCCGAGCGCTCCCCCCAGCCACTGACCCCCTAGCACCGAGCCAGGGCCCCGAGCGCCCCCCACCAGCTACTGACCCCCCCAGCACCGAGCCAGGGTCCCGAGCGCTCCCCCCAGCCACTGACTCCCCCCAGCACCGAGCCAGGGTCCCGAGTGCCCTCTCCGGCTCCGAGCCAGGGCCCTTCCCCCAGCGCCCTCCCTGCGATGTGCCCCAGCCACTGACTCGCCGCCCTCCCTGAGAGCCACTGAGCCCCCATCACCAAGCCAGCCCCCCCAGCGCCCTCCCTGAGATGCGCCCCCCCCAGCCACTGACACACCCACCGCCCTCTCTGAGAGCCACTGACCACTCCCCCCCATCACCCAGCCAGTGCCTCCGGAAGGTGGGGGAAAGGGAGTCCCAAAGACATTGACCCCATTACCTAGCTACAGATCCCAGCACCCTCCCTGCGCCTCCCGCTGGCATCAGTGTCACGACACCTAGCCACAGACCCCAGCGCCCTCTCAGCTTTAAGGAGAGTCCCCTAGACACTGATCCCCCCACCACCACCACAACACCTAGCCACAGACCCCAGCGCCCTCCCTGAGCCTTGGGGAGAGTCCCCTAGACAATCAGCTCCTACTTCTCCTGGAGGTGTTCTCATGCACTGGACCCAACTTTACCCAATACATTTCAAGCACACAGGTAGTTGCGGATTCAGTTACCCTTAAAAACGGGAGGGTGGTGCTCTTAAATTCTCACCCACAAATCCTAGGGAGAATGCACATACCGCATGGAAACACCCATTGCAAAAACTGCTCGTTGTAAGCATGAGAAACTTTTAAAACTACTTTAAAATTAATCCCAGAATGAAAAGAGTCTCCCTTGGAATGAGTGGGAAGCAGAGCAGATCTGAATCCATGAGTGTCACAGACTTTCAGGGAGTTCAACAGATGCACAGATTATGCTGAAGATGGGGGGCACAGGATGGGAAGTTATTATTTCATGTTCCCGTAAAAATATAGAGCCAAACTATTCTGCAGCAACAGTCCAGACCTCAGCAGTTACAACTGATTGAAGTGCAGCATTGTAAGACTTCCATAGCATTTTCTTCCCAGAGAGGGGTCACATGCTGTCACCCTAACTCATGTTTAAAGTATATTTGTCTGTGAGTAGTTGCATTGAAATCAGTGGGGGGGGGGGGGGGAGAGCACAACCTGGTCTGATGAGTGTATTTTTTGTCCTGGAACTTTTAGTCTGCACCAGCCCCAACAATCACAAACAGGGGAGCTTAGAAAAACCTCCCTCTACCCGTGTGAACTTTTCCATTTAACGCCACCACTTTAAAAAAGGAAAGCCTTCAATTCGTTTCACTGCAAAGACTTTATGTTAAAAAAAAAATCCTAAAGGAGGGGGAAGAGGGGAAAATCCAGGGGAATAAAAAGCAATGATTTTTAAATGAAGTGTTTAAACATTGTGTTCAACAGAAATCTGTGCTCCTGGGACAATACATTCTGACTGTGATAAATAGAGCTGAATTGACTGACAAGTTTGTACACGCTTGAAATTTTTGCAATTGTGTAACACTAAACAAATACAGACTTTTCTTTATTTTAATAGGCCTGGAGTGTGCTGGGAGAAAGGCCCCTGGTTGTCTTTGCAGTTGTTTACTCTGTGTAATGGAAAAAAAAAATCAATGAAAAGTTCCCAGTGTGTATGCTTAAACCATGCACTAGGTTAAATTCAGCTCCTGAATATTATGGGATCTACATTGAAAACATAACCAACTTGCTTTTTCAAAAGGGCAATGCATGCAAAGCATCTTTAGGATATATGTGATTGTGGGTATGTCTCCATCTGTAAACTAAACATTTTGTCAAAATGCCTGACTGAAGGAAACTCAGAATTAGAAGCATATTAGGAAGGAGGGTGAATTTTAAATTGGAGGGAAAGGCCAGTGTCAAGTAGTGTAGATAGCACACTCAGAAACGACAGTGGTGGGTGTTTTAGAAATAATTTAAAAGATTAGATTAGGCCCAGAATATATGTTTTATTTAAAAAGAAAAAAGTTAAGATTTTTTTGGGGGGAATATAATCCCAGTTATCAACAGAACTGTTTCAAGTTTTTTATATGTCAAAATAATTTGGATTTAAGCATCCCTTTTCTGCCTTGTGTCAGTGCATGAAAACCCAAATTGAAGCTGACTGTAAATTTAAAAAAAATGAAATTAACTTGTGCAGTTTTACAGCCCTTACTGGTGGAAGTAAAAACAACAAAAAACAACCAAGCAATACCCCCAACCCCTCCCCCCACCATAAATGGCAAAAGGTAAATGAAATTTTTCAGCCTCTTGATTTTGATTATTAATAATACCAATAAGACACTATACAGGATATTTATATGTCCTTTATGTCAACTGACAGTGTGTGTAAGTCTGTGAAGATGCAGGAAGCTCACCTTTCTCAGTCCCATTCTGATGTGCAGGGGAAGACACTGGATTCCTGGACCTGGCAAAAGCACTCATCAGAGGAAGGGCCCCTGGTCTGTGATTCCTGGGCCTAGAACAGGAAGAAAAGAGTAGCATAGCACTGTAATTGTTTCAGTCTAAAGGCCACTGCCGACACATTAGGGAATTCTATTGCTCTGACTAACATGGCCCTATTAATAACTCCAGTATGCAACTAGGACCTGATCCCACCCCACTGAAGTCAATGGGACTACTCAGGTGCTTGTAGCTAAGCAGATGCTTAAATTCCTTGCAGAATGGGGGCCTTAATATGGTTAGTAAAGGACAGCAGACTTACCAGTCTTCTGGATCACAGTCTCTGAACCCTTTAGCGAAGGGGTTGCTGGCAATCTTGAGTTGTGTGATCTGAAAAGGGGGGGAAGGGGGAAAGGACTTTGAGTGGCACTTGCAGATATTTCTGATTAGAGAGTGCCCTACTCCTTTAAACTGGCTTCTGGGACAAATCAACCAAGTTTCACCCAGTCTGATGGAGGGGGCCCAAGTAGTAGCAGTCCTGGTTCCTCTTGGAAAATTATAGGCACCAGCAGGTTTGAGAGCTCTCTTTGCTTTGCAATAGGGACATGTGGTTTCCCTCTGCTCGAAAATGCAGAATTGTATGCTATCTAATACGAGTTCAAGGCGAAGGGAGAGGCAGCCCGAGACTGCTGCTAAAGCTGTGTAAATGCACTTGTAAGAAAATGCCACATTATATGGGTCACCACCAGAGCAGCTAAGACAAATCACTGGATAAATCATACTTATGTATTTATTTAATTCGCCAGGGAGAAGGCAGGACATTTTCTATATTTAAGCAAATCCACGGATAAAGTATGTGATTGTGAGTTTCCGGAATGGGTTGAAAAACAAACTTTAAGCCCCTCAGTGACAGTTCCAGCCTTAGAGGTCAAACTGATAGAAAGCAGGAGAGAAAGAGCAGCTGTCCTGAGCCATCAGGCAAATGCCAACTTGGGAGGGATGGGGGAGCCCCTTAAAGGCGCAGCACCTAGCTCTCAGCCCAGACGTCTTTGAATATGTGGGGTTTGGATGTTGTCCAAATAATAATTGTGGCATGTTTTTTATCCGTGTAAATTTATTTATTTTAAAAGCTTGAAACAATTACAAAGGGTGGGAGCTACACCTTTTGCTTCCTGGGAATAGGCACAATTAACTGTGCTAATAAAAATATACAAATAATCAAATAATAGATAACAAAAGAGGCGTTTTAACCTTCCTACAAGACCCCAAAGCTACAAAGGGAACAAGGAATCTGGCATTCATTCAGCTCTCCGACTTGGATAATAATATTTTACCTTGCACTATTGGAAAAGATCCTTAATTTGAAACTCTAATTATAGAGACGATTTGTTCCTCGGTTTATACTACATTAATGTTATTTTTAAAAGCGACTGGATTTAATGCTACCCAAAATATGTTCTATTATTTGTGTGTTCCTAACGCACAGACCCAGGGTGGCAAAGGCAGATAAGTAAAATAGCATATTTGTCCAAACAAATTTTGAGTGACATTTCGCAGCGTGAAGACTGTAGTTTCCCAACTAGCCCGGGTCTCGGGTTTACATAGGTAATGATGTCCCTCTGGGTTTGAGGAAGTTTTCTATGGAGTTAAAATTGCAAATCTGGAGCTCACGCAGCTTCCTCGGAGTGCAACAATGTAGCTTTGGAGCAGGGCTCCCTGAGCTATCAGATTCCATGAAAAGTCAAGGAATGGCTTTAGCAGATGGATAGGAGGACATCTCCCTAGACACCTTCCACAACTCGAATGGAGACTCAGAGACTGACACTTAAAAACCCCAGTTCAGCTCAGCCGTCCCATGCCCCAGACCTCGAGGAATCTTCAGCTCGACAGAAAAGGACAGCAGATTGTTTGGGGGGGGGGAGTCAGTAAACGCTGTTAAGCTGATGGACAGTGGCTCGCTTACCCATAAAAGCTAACCGAGGCCAGTTCCAAAGTCCAGTGAAATTGACTACAGCGGGCTTTGGATCAAGCCCTAAATGGTTTGCAGTTCAGAGACTTGGTTTATGATTTGGTCTCCTTTTTCTCTTAGGTAATTTAGGATTTTCTCTGAAAGGAGGAGGAGATCTCTAGTTCATAGGCTTTGGGGCGACTATAAAATAATTTAGTACCATAGCTTGTTGTACACATGAGAAAATTAATGCTTAAGATGGAAAGTGTGTTTCTAATGCAAACAGCAATTTCGCTTCCCTACAATTATAAATCACCCAGATGACTGTTTAAATAATAAAACTGTATATTTAAAAGGTTATATATTATCATTCCAGACTAACTTGTGTTTTAGCCTGACATTTCAAATATTAAATTGGTTTTGGATCCAATGATCAACCTCAAGCAATGGAATGATGTCTGTGTTCTCTTTGTTATAATCACATCTTTGTTATTAATGTTCGATTTGGTTTCCCACTGAATGCTTAGTCATTTCTACTGGATCACACATACATATTTCCCCCTCTTCCCCTTAACTAAGTCTATAGCATAGTATTGTATTTACGAAGAAGATTTTCCCTCAAACTCTCCTTATGCTTTATTATAGGCGGTAATATGAGATCTACAACAATTCTCTGGAGACTATAACAAGGGGTAGCCCTCTAGCAATCCCTGTTTCAGTCAGTGCCTGTGACCCCAAAGGGCTCTTGCTTCACACTTAATGAATATACCTTTTTCTTACAGAGTCCGAAATGCACATTTGAAATGCTGCTTTTGGGGCGGGGGGGGGGGCGTAGAGTGTGTGTGTTCCTTTTTAACAAGCTGTAATTATTCTAATCGAGATAGACAGCAAAACAAACAAGCAAAACAAACAAACAACTCAATATGACTCTTCAAGTGCGTGTTTTAATCAAGGTGATGAAAAAAGTGCTTAAACCGAGAGCGGCTGGCAGCTCTCTGCTTGGAAATTGAATCTGAGTTTTGCAGATCTGGCATAATTCATTTTTGTTTAACAACTTTTTTCTTTTTTTGCATTGAGTTGCTTGAAAACCTTATTTAGAAAGCCACACGGTTTGTGTGTAATTAAAGAGAGTGTTGAAAGGTGATTGCATTTACCCCGTTCCAAGAAGCTAAAAACCCATTGTATTTATTTGTATACCAACAAAGTTTCCATTGGCCGGGTATTACCTTTTAAGCATTGACTGCTCTGAATTAATATCCACCCCCCCCCCCAGCACCACCCACCGCCCCTTCCCGGATCTCCATCCGTCAAGGGGAAGGTTTTGATAAATGAAGTATCGGAGGGTTTGTGTCTCAGTAATGAACTCCAGATCCTCACCCTGTGATTCTGATAGGCGGTCACGGCGGTGAAGCGGGTCTCCTCGAAGACAAACGTTTTAAAGTTCTCCTCTGCATACTTCTCGCTGTCTTTCCTGGGGTCCACGTAGACCACATGAAAACGAGGCTGGTATCTGTGCATGGAGTTCAAAATGATCTGAATGATAAAACGAGCAAGGAGATCATAATTGATTCATTCTACACCAGGCAGAGCGTTGAGAGGAGAGCACCGCGCATCCCCCGCCCCGTCCCCCCGCCGCACAGTGTCAGGCTGGCAGCTTGGAAATGGGCTCCTTCGGGGGGAAAGGGCTGGGGGGGGGGATTCAGAGAAACAACAGGATTGCAGCTCCTCTGAGGCTACGGCGGTGCATAGTATTAATTAGAGTTAATGAAGGATTGAGTCTTGTAGGAGGCTATGCAGTGAAACGCTCCGCACGTTGCTCTGCGCTGCCGACTGAGGTCCGATTTGAAGCGCTGGTCACAAGCACTGCTAAAAAACACTACGGGTGTGTGTGTGTGTGTGTGTGTGTGTGTGTGTGTGTGTGTGTGTGTGTGTGTGTGTGTGTGTGTGTGTGTGTGTGTGTGTGTGTGTGTGTGTGTGTCCCCAGTCTGAGCAGGATTCCCCAGCGAGCCTGCGCCCTTTAAAGAGGTGATCTCACTGGGGACCGGACAGTTCCGCAGGGAATAGGGAGGAGAGCGGCTACAAGCCCTTCGGATCCACTATTAAATAAAAAAAAAGGAGGGCGGGTGGGGGCATGTACCGGAGCTACCGGGGAGCACTGAACTGAATGGAAATAGGCGGAAAAATCTTGGGGCATACCCATTATATGGAACAGGAATGGGCGGGTCAAATGGCTATCAAAAGAGAACAGCGTTTAGTTAACTCCGGGCTCCAGCATGTTTTCCTTAAACACTCATTATTCCCAATGCAGTCCGTTCCCATTAAGCCAGTGGAAGGGGTGGGGATGCAAGGAATGGGGGAATCGGGCCTGAGGGAAAAGTTCAAAGTTATAACGTAAAGGGTCCTATGCCTTCTCCCTATGGGCCCGATCCAACCCCTGGAGTCAGCATTGGGCCTGGCCCAACGCTCACAGCAAATATGAAATTTGGGGTGTTTCCAATTACAATGAGCAGCTATTGAAAGGACCCGATCCACCACTGCGAGAGTCTTTCTAGGCATTTTGACCCCAAGCCTTATACTTGGTAAATCGTGCCCAGGGGTTTCTTTTTGTGTGCGTCAAGAAAAATCCACGTGCTGGAGATTTCACGTGCCATTCTCCTCCCCTTTCAGTGCCCCCAGTTGGTTCCCCTCTCTAACACTTACGTGCCCATTGTCATCCAATAAATTATTGGTCAGTTTCAGTTTATCGAAGGATACTATTTGTTTCATCCACTGGGCCCCTTTAGCAGGAGAGTCGGGGTGATAATGAACTCTCCCGGGGGTAGCAGGGTCAGCTTTGCCGGCCACGAGCCAGGAGGAGCTGTGGAAGGCGTATCTGCAAAGGAGAGGCAAAGTGCAGTCAGTGGCTGCTCCTGATCCAGTTGGTTAAACACGTGCCCGGTAATCCAGAGTTTAATCTGAGTTCTGCTCTGGACGAGAGAGGAGGCCATCGCGGGCCAAAGTCCCTACGTAGAATTGCAGGGTTCTCTCAAGTCTTTCCCCATCCACACCATGGGGATGAGAACACACGAGGGCTGATCCTGCCCTTATCCAAGTCACTGGTAAAATTCCACCGACTTCAGTGGTGCAGGATCGGGTCTAATTAGCTAAGGCCAGATGCTAACACTCTTACCCAGTGAGCAGTCCCATTCAGCTCAACGGAGCCTGAGTAACCATAGCAGAATTTAGACTCTAGTATTTGAGTTAAGTATTATTTTTGTCGGTGGGTTCCCTATAAAAACCTCTGGGCTGCTCTGGGACCGGAAAGTGCAGTTTTTACACAGTTCAATCGAGCTGTAAAGCTAGCCTGCCGAGCAGAAGGAGAGCGCTTCCCCACTAATGAACGTAGCCTCTCGTTTCTAGAAAGCCAGTGGGAAAACGCCAGACTTGTTGACAAACAAAATGTTTTCCTTGGCTCTCTGGGGGAATTCGCAAAAAGGGAAAATCTGCTCGACTGGGGACATTTATAGCTACCTGCACATATTTGGGATGGAAGCCAGGAATGCTACCGAATAAATACAATTTAAAAAGTGAAAGGAAACCCTTTACACAGTAACGTTCTGGCTTTAAGGTAAAAGTGGACATTTACGTGCAGTTTAAGAGCGGATCCAGAGTTTAGCAGTCTTGCTACAGTCTTTCAAAGTCCATATTCAACAGTAACATTAAAAACAGTGAGACGAATCTTCTATGCACGCGTTGACTTTAAAAGCCAGTGTATGCACGGGGGCGGGAGGGGGGTGTGTGGAGAATTATACACCATTGGAGTTGAGCAGAAACATTACTTTTTAAAAAAAAAAAAAGATATTCTCAATTGGATGTTATATATCCCATTTCCCCTGACAAGCAAACGTTTCTGTAACGCCCTCAGAATTTGATATCTGTCTAAATATTTATATATTCGACGCTGAGATTCATATGCACACTGGCTTTTAGGCGTCCTGATCTGAAGAGAAATGGATAATGAGCCTTTCACTGTCTTCAAATTAAAGGTGTTACCAATCAAACCGCATCATCGATTTGTGAGCCGCCGATTTCCTAGGTCGCCTTCCTATGTTCTCAGTGAAAACAGAGAAAGAATTTGGAGAAATATGCAGTTGGCTTTGTTGGTGATTTTCCAACGTGGCCTCAGGCTAGGACAATACAAGCACTTTTCAGTGAAACACAAAGAAAACTAGTCTCGGAGGTTAACGCACACACAGAGCAAGACCCATTCCCTTGCTGTACACAATCACCCCCCAAAAGCAAAAGCCTGTTGGGTTCTTTTATATGAGGCGAAAAATGAAATTTGATTCTTAAAAAGAGGTCCCTCCCGCGTGGAATCTACAGGAACATTTATAAATAGCGAATTCTACAAACACTTTTCCTCCTAAAAACTCGGGTCTATAGTTATTGTGCTGAGAAAGCCATTTTACAGTCAGCAATTAGCCTGATTTAGGAGATCGAAATTTCTCCCTGCAGATGCAGTTTATGAACATAATTTTAATGGTTTTTTTAATATGAGAATTTGGGGTGGGGTTTTTTTGCCAGACATAAGTAAAAGTCTCATAATCATGGATTAAAGGGATTTTTTTAAACCCAGTAATGTCTGTGTTTTGACTGTGCGCGTACCTGTGGAATATCCTCTTCGGATAAGGGAATATTTTACTTTAAAACTTCGGGCCAAATTCTGCTCTCAGTTACACCGACGTACATTCGCAATCACTCCTAAACTCACCGGGGTGATATGGGATTTACACCGAATCAGGCTGGCTGCTCCCAAAGCTAACTACAAAAAGGGGTGGCCCCTTTTTTATTACAGCCCAGATACTGTATTTTAAAACAGAACCCCGCACCACGTGTGGCATTTGGAGAAATCCTTCCTTGCACTGAGGAAGCCACGACGGATTCAAAACAAAAAATCAAGCGTTTCGATTCCAGAGCTAGTCCACTAGACTTAACTTCAGCCCCGATTTAAAGCACATCCAGATTCAAACTAAATAACGGCCCCCCGATAGAGAAGAACGCTTCCATCATTCTCGTCCTGGGGCTTAGTAGGTGATGTCACAGAACCCAGAGATTTGAAAGACAGGTCAAAAGGGGAGTTGGAGGGCAGGGGAATGGCCTGAATCCATTGCTGGACAAGGAGATCTACATTTAATTGCAGACTCCAACCTAGATCCAATCTATTTTTTTTAAAATAAATATTAAACCTTGTGTGTGAGAGAGAATGACTCCCAGGCTGTTGTGCATGATCTCCAAGCACCCTTGTAGCTGTAACCAAGCCTAATTTATGATCTGTATGAAATATTAGGAGAAATTTTAAACCCCCAGTTCAAATACGTTGCAATTAAAAAAATTCTCTCCCTCAGCATCTTGCGCAGAGTAGACAGCCACTGGGGTGCGTTTCACACCGGAGAGCTGCTGGCTTTAAGAATAAGGCTGGGAGAGGAGGGGGAATCGTGTTAGCGCTTCTGTTCTCCCTCCCTTTGCCATTCAAAGGCAGGGATGAGCCTGATCCAAAGCCCACTGAAGTCAGTGGAAAGCCTCCGACCTGCTGCTTTGGGCACTGAATCAGGGAAATGCCATTCCAATGTGTCTCTTTCCCTCGGCGCCCCATCGCAGTCCCGGCTAAAGGACTCAAGGAAAAGCTTATTCTACTTGCCGATATCTTTTGTCGTCCACGGGTACAAAATCCATTAACAACATGTAATCAGCCATGGGGTCCATTCCAAATATCTTCACCTGGAAGGTGGGGAACATGCGCCTGCGGCAGGAGAGAAAAACCACAAGGCGTGTGTCAGAACAACCACCAGCTCCTCGCCTGCCGGAACCGGGGACTCGCGTCTGGTGACATTGCACCCCCTTCCATCTGCGCGGGGACAGTGTCCCTCTTTCAGATCAAACCCCTTTCTTCTTTCTGGCTGTAGCTCGATGGCCCATAGCACAGAATAGGTGAGGAACGAGGGTGATTTAGAAACAATATATTCACCCCTGGACCTGGGAGAGCTGGGAGACTTTACAGATCAAAGGTTTATAATATTGTGGGCTAGAATCAGATGGTGGGGACGCTGAAAAGGCAACAGGTAATTGGAGGAGGGGGCTCCCATCTCCCAGCCATGGGAGAGACATAGGGCCCGATCCTGATCGCCTCCCCCCAACAGACCCACCAAGACCAGCCCCTAGGGCATGCATGAAGTTACGTTAGCCAAGTATTTTTACACTGATGTCAAATTGCCTTCTAGAACTGGTAAAACTTTCCTATTTAAAGGCTTATAAGAAGTCACCGAAGGACATGAAAGAGCTGGGAAGTTAGATTAAGTCCAGAATACCTCTATGGGTTAGCGCGGCTAGATGAAGCTAACACAAGGCTCCTGTGTTTTAAGAACGAGCTGTTATTCGGGGGGGCTTAGAGATGCGCCAGGCTGGCGGACAATCCTAGCGTCTCTCTAGAAAACCGTAGCTCTTGGTGGCGCTGTCTGTGTCTCTCCTCCTCCCCCCGCCCCATTTCAACAGTGGGTGAGCGAGGGGTTACTTTCCCTGCCATTTGGCAACATCCCCCGACCCCGCAAGCTGTTTGCACAATGCTGAATGCTCGTTAGTTTCAAGAGTCTCTTGCAGGGCTGTGCACAAATGCCCGATAGTTCCCCGCGGCTGAGGTGGGGTGGGGGACTTTATAAAGGAGCCCCCAGGGGAAATCTGTCTGTGAACTCGCACATAAAAACGTTGGCTGAATGTTAAAGTTTGATTTCTGAGTTATTCTACATACAGCTATAAACCCTGTGAACCATCACTTAGAAATCAGAATGTTACTAGCATGCTAGAGTGGCGATTATTTTAAATTCCCTTTCGGGGTCTTTCTGACCCAGCTCCACATCTCATGCTTGCTCCCCCCCCCCAAAAAAAAAATCAAAGCAAAAAACAACACAACGAACAACACAAGCAAACCAAAACCCAACACCGCTCCCCAAATAAAGCAGATGAAATCTGTGGGGGTAAATAGCAAGACAGTAGACCCGCAGCCCCCCCCCCCACTCTCACACACAGTCCAACGGATCCTAGAGCATCTCTCCTATTAATTCCCAGCCAAATTAGCACCGATCTAAAGAACCGCTGCGTTTGTGGGGTGTGAACACGCGTCCGAGCTGCGCACACACTGTAGGGCTCAGAGAGGCTCCAAGTTTCGCTGCTTCTCTCTGAAACCCTCCAGGAATTTCTACCTTTTCACACCCACTTTGCTCGGCTCCCTGAAGCTAAAGCAGGAGTGAAGTGAGTCTGTATCCCTGTCTCCTCTCCGGGACGAGCTTGACTGGCCCTGTAGCCTTAACAATGGCAAAGGAAGACACGTGAAATAAGCCCAGAAGCCCTTTGAACTCATTTACTTTCTAAACCAGGCTAGCGGGATAGGTGAGTTACCCAGTGTCATTTCTGACATTCCATCCCCGCGGTACCGAAAACACAGGCACCAGGCCAATGGGGCAGCGTGTGTGTGTCTATGTGTCTGTCCGGGGGGGTTTCAGAGCCTTCCCAGCTCCCTACATTTCCTGAGGCGATAGTCACTTGGTTCCCACAACGGTGCTTTCTCCTCGGACTCACCCAGCGCGCACAAACTGGGGGACAGGCGCTCCCTCCCAGCGCCGAAGGGGCTCAAGGCCACCAGCGCTCTGTTCATTGTGCAGCCGATTGACCAAATTTGGTCTCGGCATCTTTACGCTTTCGCAAACGAATGGTGAAATATCCCCGGCTAAGCGTGCGCTCCGCGGCACTGTCCCCAAGCCAGGCAAGCGAGCCTGGGACACCTCCCCTCCCAACCAGGCGACCGAGAAAAGTGGAGAGGGGCTTTTGTGGGTCTCTCTTCCGCATTTTCCTCTCTTGACTTATACCAGGAAGGGGCTCGTTCTGCTTTCGCACCTTGACCCGCACACACAAAACCACCCAGCAATGCTTTTGGAGGCCAGAATTTTCCAAAGGCTGCGAGTTAAAGGTGAACTCAGATGAGCTGGTGAAATGAAAGATCAACCCACTCCCCACCCTCGTAGGTAACAAATGTATCAGTTGCCTTTGTTCCATTTAGAGCCAATGCTGGGGGCTGTTTACCCCAAAGCTTTGGTCTGCTTTTCCTTCTGTTTTAGGTTTGCTTGTTTTGCAAGGCGAGCAACCAGCGTGTGGGTATTGCAGAAAGCAAGGGCGCGCAAGCGAATTTTAACCCACCGGCTTTTAAATGTATCCACACTGAAGCTCCAGGGAAAAAGTAAAACAATTTACATTTAGCAAGGAGGCTGACCAAGAAACCTAGCCCACTTCCCTGGGCTTCAATAGAACAAGCATTGAAACGCGTTAGAAAGGCAAGTTAGTTCCATTACAATTTTTTTTTTTATCTCCAGTAAATTTTAGCCCGGCTCCAAACCCATAAGTTCTCGGAGTTTTTGGAATAACAATTACTGTTGCTTATTCTAAACAACCTAAAACGACACAAGCCTCCATGAAAACACAGGGCGCTCCAGAAACCACCGGGAGGTAGCAAGCTCGTCTAGAAGCCAATTGCGATGCGGTTTGTTGTTAAAGTTCTCCCAGCGCCTACGGAAAGCATAATCTTTTCACACGTTACTGGTTTGTTTTAGCAAATCAACAGGGACATTTAAACCGCATTCTATTTAAAATATTTAAACCCTTATTAACCTTAACTCCAGTGTTTCTTTCTTCTTTTTTTTTAAACGAAGTTTTAAACAAACAATTTAGCTTGATAAACCCCGGCTTAAAAAAAAACAAAACTCTTAAGGCCAACACAGGCAACCGTGAAAATAAATGAAACCATTAATAGAGCGCAGTAGGGCTACCTGGAATCAGCAATCTGCCTTTCCGGGTTGTTTGCATGTTTTATTTGTTTTACTAGTTTTACACCCTGGCTCGTTCAATTAACCCTTTCGTCATTTAAACCTACTCTTTATTTTAATCTCACCTCTGCACTTGACACAGTTAGTTCACAAAGTCAAAGTCTCTTGTAGAATCGTTGCCGGGTTATTTATAATGCGGATTTCTTCCCCCTTCCCCCCCTCCCCCGTCTGTAAAATGGAAAGGACACTTCAGAGCTAAAAAAACATTGTTTTCCCGAAAGGCTCAGCTGTTAGCTAAAATTCCCTTTTCCGTTAAAAAAAAAATTGAGAGAGACTCAGATGCGATTTGTATTCAGTGACGGGGGGTACGGGTGTCACTAAAGCATTTAGGGAAATAAGGAACAAGCCTAGGCAACAAGGTAGAGGCTGCAACACGGAGCGAAGAAATCTCCTGTCGGAAGGACTAGTCTAATCCAGAGCCCAGTGGCGAAGACTAGAAGGAGACGCTATACTCCGTATGAGGCCTGGCGCTGAAGGTACGGGCCTGGGCTGAGGAATGCCTCGTCTAAATGAGAACAAGCCCCCGGGGTTAGGTCCCCACCAACCCCCGCCCTGTAACCCTACCAAAGCCGTGACTCGAGCCTGAGTTCTACAACGCTCCTGCACCGAGCTTTGGAAAATACGGGTTTTTTCTCCTCTCTCCTCCATAACCCTTCAAATCAACAGAGGCATCTGGCCCGTCTCTGGGACTGAAAGCAACCGCGTGGCTTGCGGTGTGGGGTAGAGATTCTGAAATCTTTTCCCCGCTGTGTTGGTCACAGCAGCGGGAAGGACCCTGGGAATGACTTGCCGGAGTCCGCAGCCTTTTCAAGATGCAGTTACAAGGGGTGCCCTTTGCTAACCTGCTCCTCAAGGTGTTACTGCGCGATAGGATCTGCGACATTATCACCGACCTGGGGGAGGGGGAAGTCAGTCAACATAAGACACACCACAAGTGTGTCATGCTCAAATAAATTGGTTAGTCTCTAAGGTGCCACAAGTACTCCTTTTCTTTTTGCGAATACAGACTAACACGGCTGTTCCTCTGAAACCACAAGTACAAACTCCGATGGCCACAGTCAAGCCAGCCGGGGGTTTGTTACCGCTTGGACAGCGGAGAGAGCGTCCAAAGGCCGCACAAAAAGAGTGACGTTTGCAGACACAGCCCCAGCGGGCCGAGGTTTTAGGAAGGTTTACAAGGGAACACATCGCAGTGAACGTGCCGACCTGTGAACCCTCTTTATTCTCTCGCAAATGCTGTACGCACCCAAGGAGGTCACAACAGCTCCATACCAACGCAACTCAGGGTCAGTTGAGCTATTTCACTTGAGCTCGCAGTTAAATGGTGTCTAATTAACAGACAGGGTCATCATCCTGCCCCCCCCCCCCCGTAGCCGTTTAATTAGCTTAGTTGAGAGCCTTCCCTTTTAAACACGATACAACGTTCGCTTCCTTTGTTAATTTCGACGAAGAAGCTTTATGGGCGTGCTGCCTTCTTGGGTTTACATTGGTGAGTTGGATCCGGCTCTCCTCAAACTGGTAAACTACCCACTGAAACGGCCGGGAGATTTACCGGAGAAAAGGATGCTGGATGGGGCCTCATAATGAGTATTCTGGATGCTGGTCATTTGTGGATTCCAGAGAAGGAAATGTGGCAAGTACTAAGAGGTGTAAAAAGAGCCCCTGAGGTTTCTTATCTGTAATCTCTCCAAGAAGGCCCTAAACCAGCAAAGCGGAGATCCATGTCTGTCCCGCCAATGCGTGTGACCAGAGGTGGGTGTTAAAGGGATCCTGCTAATCTTGCTCCTAAAGAACAGTGTCCTCTGCAAATAAAGCTGGTTTTAAATCTCGCGTTTGAGAGTCGGAGGCAGTGTTAATGGTACTGACTTTGCCATAATACAGTAATCAGTCTCCGACACGTTACATAAACCCCCACGCCCACTTTCCGATTCGAATCCGATGGCTTTGCTGGGGGGTTGTGTACATTTGAATGCACCGCTTTTAACTCAGGTATCTGTGCGGACTTTCACAGAACTGCCCAACCCTTCGCTCCACAAGACAATTGCCGATTCTGCTCTTAAAGAAGTGCGGGGTTCAAATTACCGTATTGGGGGCTAGCAAACAGATTACCCCGACAGAGTGGATTTTTAAAATCAGTCTATTTTCTTCTGAAGAAAGCAGATAAGTAACCGCCGCCCGGAGAGGGCTTTGCTCGCTAACATTTCACAAGAACCCAGGAGGGGGAGGCTCTAACAAGAGCCCCACATTGCTCTTAAACCCAGCACCAAAGTATACGAGGCATGAGTCATATTCCGAAAAACGACAGCGGCTCATTTGCTCCGGATCTAACCCCGCAGCCCTGGCAGAAAGGGCCCGAGCAGGACACCCGCACAGCGAGGAGCAGCACCCGGGGCGCTGTCGATAATTTCCTTGTCCCACCGGGACAGGTCCCGCTGGCGGGGCTATAAACCTTACGATGTTTTAGGCGCGCAGTAAAAATGTATTTTCCTGCGCTCGTAAAAGGGACCATAAGGAAAAAAAAAAAGCCGCGGAAGCCCTAGGGTAGGTGAAAAGGGTGGAAGCAGGGTCCGTTGGGCTGACAACTCTGGGTGCAGGGCTGCGCGGGGCACAGGGAGAGGGACCCTGGCGGGGGCCACCCTCTGGGGTTGCAGGCTGCTGCGTGCGTGCGGGGCGAGGAGGGCACTGAAAGGGCTTCCAGCCCCCAGCACCAACCCGCGTCTTCAAGCCGCTTCGCTCCCGGCGCCCCACGGGCGGAAAACCCCCTCCCCGGGCCTGCCCCAGCCCCTGCCAGCGGGGAGGCGCCACTGACCTGCCGGCCTTGGTGACGATCATCTCGGTGCCCAGCTGGTTGAACTCGTCCCACAGCGCCTTCATCTCCAGCTGCACGCTGACATTGGCCACCTTGGGGTTCTTCTTGACGGGCGCTTTGGCCGCCGGCGCGGCGGGGCAGCCCGAAGCCGCCGCGCCGCCGCCGCTCTCGGGGGGCCCCGGGCCGGGCGGCGGCGGGTTGGGGCCCGGGGCCGGGCCGGCCGCGAACGGGTAGCCGTGTTGGTGCGGGTGCTGCTGGGCCGAGCAGGGCTCGTAGTGCGGCGGCTCGGGCTGCCCGTAGGGGTCCCCCGGGGAAGGGGAGAGGTGGTAGCCGCCGGAGGCGTTCAGGCTGCTCAGGCTGTTGGCCGTGAAAGCTGCAACATCGCAAAAATGGGACAGCTGGGTGAGCCAGGGGCTGGAGATGGCTGAAATCATTCCAAAAACAGGCGGTCAGGGCTCGGCTCCGGCTCCCCGCTCCCCCCTGCTCTGCGCGCCCGCCGCCGCCGCGCCCGCGTCTTCTACTGCGCTCCCCGGGGTGCCCTCCCCCGCCCCAGCCCCGCCTCCCCCCCCGGCCCCGCGGGAGCTGCTCGGCCCCGGCCGCGCGGCTCCCCCGGGCAGCCTGAGCTCGCGCTGCGCGGCTGCCAGGAGCCCAGGCGCTGCAGAGCCCGGCTTATCTCTGCAGAGGGCCTCCCCTCGCCGCAGAACCGGTTCTTATTTCTATTTAGATAAGGCGCTGCAGGTAATGGGCCTTTCCTCGCCTAGGGACTGGAGCCCTGACGAGTTGATTGACAGGGGAGTGCGCCTTTTTAATAGCCCGCCTGACACCCATTTTTCACTCCCGAGCCAAAAAAAAAAAAAAAAAAGTTAAAAGAAGCAGGCATCGCCCACAGGACCCTCCACGGATAGACGATCTAAACGCGCCCCGGGCAGCGATCTCCATCCCCCGGCAAACCGGCACTGAAGTAAAGCGAACTGCCCGCCCCCATGACGGCGCAACAACCGCCTAGTCCCCGGGAAGCGCTGGAATTTGCGTTCTACAATTAGGAATACGCTATTCTCCGCATTGCACAAGCTGCAGGGCTGAAACAGTCCTGGCGACACACTCGTCTCCCTCTGGATGTTTGTTTCTTAGATGATTATCCTCGCCTAGCCGCTCCCCCTCCACCCCCTCCACCCCGCATATCTTTGGGAAGGATTTTTTTAAAAAGCCCAATCAACTCTGCATCTGCACTCGAAAAAGCGAGACAATGTCCTACAGGATGCGTCAGTAGCCTGCAAATGGGCGATTTTTACCCCTTTTTTTGTCCTCCATTCGCTGATCCCTACAAAATTTAGAAGGGAGATGCAGACCCCTTTGGACGTCTTAGACCAAGTCTGCGGACCCCCCGGGATACAGCTTGAAAGCCGCTGCTCTCCACGGATATGGGTAAAACGAACAGAATGGGCGCTGATCGGGATAACAGAATGATCAGAGTCGGAGAGTTTTGTGTTTAAAATAAAGCGCGGGAGGAAACAGAGTCAATTAAAAAGAAGAGGGTGACCAGATCTTTCTAAAGAGCTTTGACATAAACACGGTACCGTTTCAATTGCGGGTTTGGGGCGTTAGCAAGCCGCTCTTTCGGTTCCAAGCCTTGCTGGCTGGTAAAATCTCTTCTCAGTCAAAACTTCATTAAAAACAACACCGATCTTTGACAAGCCTTCCTAGGCCTCTGCCATTTCCACCTCTTTTTGTCTCGGAAACACTGTCTTTTCCCGTACCTTGTTGTTATTGCTTACTCGCTACAGCTGAGGGCAGGTCTCTTAAGCAGCCGGGAGTTGCTATAAGCAGTTGTTTTTTCCCCTTTACCGGCTGGAATATTTTTTTTTAAAGTTTTGACGCTTTTACGCAGCCATGGCAGGGAAATCGGCTGCAACCCTCCCCCTCCCACACACATACACATACACACATTTCCCCACTTACATTCAAAACAAAACCCCGGCACAGCTGCTCAGAGAAAATTCCCCGAAAATCCTGCATCCCCAGGATTTGCTCCACACCGCTTTTTTTAAATTTTTTTAATGCATTTCCCCTCGCTCTCCAGTGGGGCTTTGACTTCTTAGCTCTCGGGCTCCGATTTACAGCTGCCCGCAGGAAGCTCAGGTCCTGCGCCTAGGTCCGGGCTGCACGTACCTTCCATGTCTCTGGTGACGGTGCTGAAATGCATCTTCTCCGGGTGGGAGCCGGGGCTGAAGGGCTTGCTAAGGCCACAGCTGGGCTCCTCCAGCGCTTCCTTCCCTGCGTGCTCGGCGGCGACTGAAATCAGAGAGGCGATACTGAAAGCATTTGCCTTGGGAGACAGAGGGCTGTTCTCGTCCATAGGGGAGACCGATGCAGCAGCCTCCCCCACCCCCTGGCCTCGCCAAACGCTCCCCCCGCTACCACACCATCCAGCCAGGCACCATGCGCCGCCAAGACCGCTGCACCGCCTCGAAGGAGGAAGCCGGAGAGGAAGTTTTCAGGGCGCCCCCCACCCCCAGCCGCCCGTTTCTGCGCTCCTTCGGCGTCTGCAGAGGAGGCGGATCGGGCCCCGCCAGGCGCGGCTCCCGGGCGAAATCGGCTCCTCGGTGATTTATTGATGGGTTTCTCGCCTCTCTTCCTCCCCCTCCCGCTCGCAGCGGGGAAAGTGGCCCCCTGAGAGGCGCGCGGCCCCGGCCCGGGGGTGGGTGATGTCACATTGGAAGCCCGGTGCCTTTGCCTGGAGCGGCTGCGGGTGGCTGGGGGGGGGGGGAGCTGCCGCCGCCGCCGCTGCGAGTCTGTCAAAGGGCTCGGGCCGTTTCCGCGCCTGCTGGGCACGGGCAGGGAAACACCGCCGCGCGCACGCTGCGGGGGTGGGGTAGGGGCAGGTTGTATTTAAATGGCCCCCTGTCAATCACGGCGCCCAGGCTGCAGGGAGCAGGGGAAGGGGGGGGGGGAGAAGAAAAGCGGAGCGTCACTGCGGATGTCCGGTGGAGCTAAATACTCAGTGGTTCCCCCCCCTCCGCCCCCCGGCGCCCGCGCCGCCCTCCTCCTCCTCCAGTCGGGGGGAGCTTTGACACTCTGCTGGCTGCTGGACGCCGCTCCCACCAGGCTCCGAAGAAGCAAGACAACAACGATTCCGAATCCTTCCTTCGGCAAAACTCCAGCCAGGGCTTCAAGGATTTCTGCTCCGGATGGAGAATCCTGCACACGGTGTATTGATTACCATTACCCCCAGCGCTTCCTCGGGCGAACTCCTGCCAGGACGTTCGCATTTTGCTCATGTCACAATGCATTCGTTAATAGTAAAATAATAATAAATAATAATAATTAATAATAAATTAATTAATAGAAAAGCAACCGTTCTTATTGATCAGCAGCATTGTCATGGGCTGGGCTGCAAAACCAACCAAACAAACAACACCCCCCCTCCCAAAACCCTGTGTGTCCTCTCAAGCTGCATGTGTGTGGTACAGATGATGATTATTATAGCAGAGATTCCTCGCCCTTCTTGGCGTGGGTTGTTTTTTTGTTTTTGTTTTGTTTTTTTAATTAAAAGCCATTTTCCTCCCTGCTGAATCCGGAAAAATAAAGTGTGACTGTGGTTTGTTTTTAACATACAATCTGTTGATTTAAAGATTTGACTGAGACTTCTTTAGAAAGTTTGCAAAAATGGCTGTGTGAACCTGCTTCCTGTCTCATGGTATAATTCAACTTGATTTAAAAAACAACAAAAACCACCTATCAGGGGAAAAAGTCGTCGTTAAAACAGGACTTTACAAACAGGTGCTCCATAATATACTGTTCTTAGATTATATTCATATTATTCATCTAGATAGCTAGATATATAAATCTGCTTAATTGGCAGTCACGTGCAAAGTTATCCTTGAGCGGGTTTCACCTTTATCAAATGCAACGTTGTAAGGCCAAGCAGGGAAACAGTATCGCCTTTCATTGCTATAACAGATCCAGCATATGTGCAATGGGATACTCACTCCAACTATACCAGCCCATAGGATAACCCAAGGCAAACACAACTTGTTTAGCCGTCCCTCCTCCTCTGCAACAGAGAGGGTGAGGCATTGGACCTGAAAGAGTCAAAACTGCACCTCTGGCTGCAAACTGAGGAAGGCAACCGAAGTCCTGCCAAGTTGCTTCCAGGTGTGTGTCCAACGTGAGACCCATGCGGGCACTCCCGAAAGTCACGAAGCCTCGGGGAATGCGGAGCCCTTTCTCAAAAACAAGCCAGCAGTGTCTCTGGAAGAGGCAGTGAACCAGGAGGGAACGCAGTTCTGATTGCATAACCCCATCAATGCAAAGGAGGCTCTGGGGGTGCACTGGGTTTATAGAAAATTAATTGCTCTGTAGGTAGCCTGAGGGGTCGATTCTCATCTTGGAATATTGTTATCTTTGGACGTTTTAAACCATCTGCAGAGCATGCATCCGATGAAGTGAGCTGTAGCTCATGAAAGCTCATGCTCAAATAAATTGGTTAGTCTCTAAGGTGCCACAAGTCCACAGAGAGAAGTTACAGAATCCGGTTCCATATTTGACCTGTGGTTTTCAGCTAAAGGCATAAGGCATTACATTATATTATGTTCGTTATTATTGTATATGGTTATTTCAGTCAGCAGCTTTTCAGTTCCCCAGTCTAATAACTGAGCCATGGAGGGGGGGCTTTTATATCTGATAATCCTCCTATCTTTTGGAGATGAGCCCCACGGATTTTTTGTACACGGAAAGTAGATTAAAAATGGCACCAGTAAAATCGTCGGTGTGACAACGAAGAAAATCTCAAATCTCTTACTAGACCGTTTATTCTAACAGACTCTCAGTGCCACGGAGCGGATGGGAGACCATTACCTAGAAGACAATTCCGTCTCAGCATTCCAACCTACTTCGGATTTCCCTTAAATGCCCACTTTCGTTTAAACCGAATTTACAAGCATTCAATTTTACCACCCTGTCGAAAAATCGCTCGATGAAAAAATAAATATCTCCCAGGTGCAAAAAACAAAAACAAAACAACACAAGAAAATCCACCCAATCCAAAGCCCCAAGCTGTTTTTAAAAAGGAAACATTTCACAGGGCCTTAGTGTTTCCTTTTATCTCTCTCTTTTTCACTTTCATTTGTCTGCCCGAGCAGTCTTATCAACCTCCCTCCCCCGATTCCCCTGTAATTTTCTTTTTTGGCTAACTTCACTGAAGGGCTGCTTATTAGGATTTGGCCTTTTTCCATTATACACGTCTCCCGACACTTTAAAGAAAGGGTCTTGACACCTCCCTGTTCTCTGGCAATCTCCTTTCTGACTTGGTGTGAGCAGAAGTCTCATTTAGGAGCGCTCTGTTTTAGGCGGACTGGGCCCAATCCTGCTTAGTCGAACAGTTTGGCAATGGAAGTTGTGCCCATAAGGGGGGGATAGACCCCCCCCGCCAGTCCATCACGATCGTTAGATTAAGTCTGCAAAGCCGCCTCTTCAAAACCTCGGGCAGCGCTGAACACCGAGGTGAACCAAAGCAGGTTTCAAAGCAGTTCCTTTAGCTTTAAAATAATCAGCCCGTGGCTGGAGGGATGGGGGAGATTTCCGGTAACCACTCACTGTCTAGGATATTCTTGACATGACACCCCAGAGCTACTTCTCTATTTCACGCCGCTGAAAATGTCCCAACACGGATGAGCCGAAAACCTCACCCACGCGTGAAATGAGCAGCTACACAGCCGTGTGCCCTCCTCCAGAGACAGGAGCAAGCTTCCTCCGTTACTTGCCAGTCGTTTGCACTGGGTTGCCCTGAAATCCGGGCTGCACTAGGAAGTCATAAAACACCATCAAGAAATGGAAGAGAAAGCCTCTGTGTTTAGCGATGCCCTGGAGGTTAAAAGTCATAAACCCCGCTACAAGTGGAATACTTTCACTCGGCCGGCTGCTTGCCAAGGGCACGGTGCGTGGGGCTGGTGGCAAGGGTTTACCCGAGTTGACTCTCTCCGGGTCCCCAAATCCTAAATAAACCCGAAAAGCCCGGATCCAAGGGCAGAGCTCCTGGGACACTTTCCTCGCTGGTGGGCAGAGATCAGTGACACAAAGGGACAGTGGCATCGTCACGCGCCCCCAAACTTTTCACTCGGCCTTCTCTGAGCAGCTGCCGAAAGCAGCGAGGCTCTGTCCTGCGGAGACATCTGGTGAGACTGGTGACACATAAGGAACCGTAGGCCGAATACTGTGAAACGGGCGTAAATTCGCAAGAGAGGAGAATCAGGCCTTAACAAAACAAAGGGATTCAGTTCCTCCCAGCCCAGCCTGCAGGGCTAGGGTGTGAGATCTCAGGGGGAAATACTCCTTGCTCCTCGTTTAACTCTGTAGCCCAGCTTTTCCGGGCGGGTGGAGGGAATCCTCTTCCACAAAGACTGGAGAGGCCCCTGGCCTTCTTCAGCCTCAGTAAGGCTTAGGGCGAGCAGGCCCTTGGACGAGCTGGGAGTGAGCTAGCCCTGCATTGAGGTGCAGGCCCAGGGCTTGGAGACCTAACTGAGATAAGAGTGACATGGGGATGCCTTCCTGCTTCATGTGTGTCACCTACCTGCTGCTACAAAGCCCCTAAATCATGAACTATCCAGGTCATAAAAGACAAGAGTCGAGCCCGGGGGATGAGGAGGAGGAGGGCAGGGAAAACACCTTGCCAATAAGAGTCAAACGGAAGGAAAGATGCAGTGAGCCAGAGTTGGCTTTTTTTGGTTAGAATTGTCACTCCCGGATAAAACGATCCCCGCCAGATTTATTCCAAAGAACACAATATGAATTCCTCGGCAGAGACTTTGCTTTCGGGCCTTGCCATCTGGGTGAGGCAAAAGCCACTGGTTCTTCCAAAGAGGACCAAGTCAACAGTTTGGCTCGGTGGTTTCCTCCCGGCCCTGTGGGCTCGGCTTCGGCTTAGTCCCCTGGGTTCTTGCTTAGAGGCGCGCAGCTTTCCGCGCTTCACCCTTTGGCAGTTGTTACGAGCAGTTTTTCCCGCGGCGCTATTGATTTGTGCGGATCAGCCTTTTGAGCGCTGCGAAAATGGGACTGAAAATTGAAACGGCCGGGGGATCGGACCCCGCTGCAAACTGCGCCATCAGAAGAGGGCAGAGAGGTTGAGAGCGAAGGACAGAAACATAAAATCACCCTCGCCCCACGCGATTTCCGAGCTCCGCTTTCCCCCCAGAACGCGGAGTTTTCCCTTTCCTCTCGTAATTGCGTTCCAGCTCCGGACCATCGGTAATTACCCGCTGTACAAACACTGGCTACGGCAGATGGGTAACACTGGGAGAGGGTCTTTCAACAAACGGAGATGCCGTAAACAAGCGAGGGGAAAACTTGGCCCTTCCCGGCTAGAAAGAGTTTTTGAAGCAGGGATCTTCAGGGCCAAGAACTCCGCAAACCAGCGCTCCCAGTATCGGCGTAGAAACCATTCTGAACGCAGCTGTTTCGTATTTAGCATTAGTGGCTCCTAAATGAGGGGCTCAGAGTTACCTGCTCCCCTTTCTCTCTGTTTAACTTTCGTTTGGTTTCTGCTGCGACTGCCGGGCACCGGAGGTAATGTCTGAGGGGTCGGAGTCGGAGCAGTTCCCTGTCCTTATTGCCGTGAGAGGACCGCCGTGCAATCCCCACACCACCACGTTCGAGTCCGGTACCTGACAAGGTATTTTCATTTATATAATTTCAAAAGGTGGCCCGCAGAACTGGAAGTGGTGAAGGCTGGCGTGTCCGAACTGGGGATCGCAGGGAGCGCTCGGCGCCTGCCTTACCTAGCTCGAGGTGCTGAGGAAAGGAGCAAACAGCAACCCGAGTCTCTTAAGCAATACATTGGCTAGCTTCCCCCTTTGCAAAGAAGCCATTGGGGACATGGGTTGCCTTAATGCATAAGGCAGACGGCACCTCCGGTTACTTTCTATATCAACC